CTCAAGAGTAGCTGGGACTACAGGCACGTGCCACCATGCCCAGCTAATTTTTTGTAGTTTTAGTAGAGACGGGGTTTCACCATGTTGACCAGGATGGTCTTGATCTCTTGACCTCATGATCCACCCGCCTTGGCCTCCCAAAGTGCTGGGATTACAGGCTTGAGCCACGGCGCCCGGCCCCCTTCTTCCTATTTTATCCTGTGATGTGTGTGCTAGAGTTTCAAAATGACTCTCCCTTGCCTAAATCAAAAGCTGGTTTGTGGGTATCTACAGTTAAGTGCATCCAAAGTGTGTGGATAAGAGTGAATCAGAGGCCAGGCATGGTGGCTCACAACTATAATCCCAGCACTTTGGGAGGCCGAGGTGGGCAGATCACTTGAGTTGTAGAGCAGCCTGGCCAACATGGTATGTATGTGTGTACATATATATGTATGTATGTGTATGTATATAAATCCTTATCCCTGTGCCCTCACCCTACCCCAGCATGTCCGGGAGCTAGAAGTTGAAATTCAGATTCAGAATCATCTTTTGTGAGTGGCATGTATACAGTCAACTTTTGTTAGATTGCTTATGCTGTTATTTCACTAAACCCTAAAATCTCATAACTTTCAAAAACAAAAGATTTATTTTAAACTTTCATTACAAGTTTTGATTGTAGTTCTGTTCCAGGCTACAGATTGGTTTCAACATTTTTCATCTGAAATTCAAGTTTAAGAACAGCATCCTTTTGGACATGCTGTTCCTTGTGAGAGGGGACAAAGATTCGAGAACTAGTGTGAAATACTCAGTACCCCTTAAGGTTCTGTTCAGATATGGTACACATCACATGTGTGCACATCAAATCACATGGCCATGCCTAATGTCACTAGGGTGGAGAAGTATTAGCTTGAGCCATATTAAATTGTTAATTTGTTTTTTGTTTTGAGGCAATCTCTGTCGCCCAGGCTAGAGTGCAGTGGTGCAATTTCAGCTCACTGCAACCTTTACCTCCCGGTTTATAAGCAATTCTCCTGCCTCAGCCTCCAGAGTAGCTGGAATTGCAGGTGTGTGCCACCATGCCTGGATAATTTTGTATTTTTAGTAGAGACAGGTTTTTTACCATGTTTGCCAGCTTGGTCTTGAACCTCCTGACCTCAGTGATCCACCTGCCTCAGCCTCCCAAAGTGCTGAGATTGCAGGTGTGAGCCACCGCACCCAGCCTCAATTGTTAATTTGCATAAGTCAAAACCAGTTGAATATTGACAGTTTCCCTCTTGCATGAAAACATTGCAACTTATATGGAAATGGGTGGACCTATATAGTCATCTTATGGTTGGGGAAACAACCGGGAATAAACAACATTACCTCAGCATGGGAATATCATTTATAACCTTATATATATATTTTTTTTAATTGTTTTCTTCCTCTGTCAACTGAATAACCTAGTATTTTTTGGAAAAAAAAAAGTGTACCTTACATTCTAATGAACTCTACATATTTTATGGGATGTGAGTGTCTGCACATATGTATTGAAACATGTATTAATATACACAGACTAAATAATATATTCCCTGTTTTAAGAACAGTATTAAATTTGACTTGTTAATATTTTCATTGTAGGTATATTGAAGCAAGTCAAAGATTACATTAAACAGTGTAGCAAATGCCAGGAGAAATTAGATCGATCCCGTCCAATATCAGATGTTTCAGAAATGTTGGAAGAATTGGGACTAGACCTAGAATCTGGAGAAGAAAGTAATGAATCAGAAGATGACCTGAGCAACTTTACTTCATCTCCAACTACAGCCTCCAGGCCTTCAAAAAAGAAGCCAGTATCCAGACATGAACTTGTGTTTGTAAGTGGTACTCTCCATTCATCTTTAACGTTTGTAACTAGTGTACTAGTATTTGCAGCCTTGGTGACTTACTTTTCTCAAACCACTAAGACTTCATATTGAATAAGACAAAATGGGTAATGTACTGTGTTGTTATATAAGCTGAAAGTATGCTAATACTGCCTCATCATTTATCATAAATGTTTATTTTTTCAGGATGAACTTACTAATAATTACCTGTTGGTTGGTTGTTAATTATCCCCCCTCCCTTCTTTTGTGATAACATATTGGTACAAATAGATTTACATTTCTGGAAGCAGTCTCTGGGTTATGCCCCAGGGTAAAATTAATCTGTCTTCATTTTTCACCTGCATCCGTTTCATACATCATCACATTTCTGATCAGTAATAAGAGGCAGCCAGAAGTGAAATACAGGTTTTCATTAGGTCAGGTAGAATGAAGAACGTGGCAGAAAATAGGGAGGATAGGACAACATATCTTTTTATTTAAATACATAGATAACAAAGAAAGAATGTTATTTCTTCATACCTGGTAAAAGGTAATATGTAGTGTGTCTTGTTTTAAAGCCTGTTAAGAGTAAAAAATACAGGTAATGTATCTCTCCTGCTCTCAAACTTGTTTTGACAGGTTGACACCAAAGGAGTGGTAAAACGTTCTTCTCCAAAACATTGTCAAGCTGTCTTAAAACAGCTGAACGAACAGAGACTTTCCAACCAGTTCTGTGATGTTACTTTGCTAATTGAAGGAGAAGAGTACAAAGCCCATAAATCTGTTTTGTCAGCAAATAGCGAGTATTTTCGTGATCTTTTTATTGAGAAAGGAGCTGTTTCCAGTCATGAGGCTGTGGTGGATCTTTCTGGTAAGGATTTTCTATTACTCTTGCTTTTTGTTTGTAATGACATTCTAGAAGAGGGGGATATGTGTCTTCCACACACAGACTTTATGCCGAAGTAGTAGGAGAAGGCCACATACAGCAGTAGACTAAGCTGAACTGAAAAGGTTCTTTTTAGCAAGATTTCTATGGAAGAATTATGGAAGAGGCTGTCATTTCCTTTCACTACCTCTTGAGACAGTTACAGCAGAAAAATAATTACTGGGATTTAAACTGTTCAAAACAGTTTGAGAGAAATCCACAACTGCATCAGAATTATTACATTAAATGAATATGTTATTTAAAAATTGATTGTTTAAGGTAAGTATGGTGGTGCATGCCTGTAGTCCCACCTACGTGGGGGGCTGGGATATGAGGATTGCTTAAGATCAGGAGTTCAGGCTGTAGTGTGTCATTGTACCTGTGAATAGCCACTGCTCCCCAGACTGGGCAACATAACAAAACCCTGCCTCTAAGAATAAAGAGTAAGCAAAAATTGACTTATTTGTGTCTTATTTTGTGGGGCATGTAATTATATTTTATAAGTCTTTTGGTTTTTAAAGATTCATTGTTACTTTATTAAGTTCAATAATCAAATTATCAATATAGAAAAGTCAAAATACCAGGGTTATTTTTGTTTGTATCATATTATTGCAGATAAATAGCTCGGCTTTCTTTTGGCTTCACTAGAATTTATATATTGGTTTCTGAGTCAACGAATGAAAATTTAGGAAGAATTAAAATAGGTAACATTATTTACACATTTTCTTATAATACAAACTTGTTATAACTTTTGAAGTAGTTACATCACATTGAAATATTTTTTTCCTTTTCGAAACAAAAAGTTAATTTATCTAGGTATGTAAACTCTTAATTAGTTAACCACTGACCGTTTTGTGCTTTATTTTTTTTACCTCTTGGGGAAGATACATTTTTCCTTAGCAGTGGCTTTATGTTTATAGAAAGCAATAATAGCTTTCTCTATATAAATAAATATTTTTTAAGCATCCACTGCATACAAAGAACTAGCCTAGACTTAGGGATGTACATGTAAGCAAAAACTTTTTGGAGCTTAGAGTTGGCATTACATTCTAGATTAGTGGTATTTGGGGTTTTTTTTCTGGATTTGGTGACTCAAAGAAGAAAATATATCTTACACTGAACCATCTGAATATAAAAACCTATCACAGGTTATTCTTTTGGCATGTTAGCGTTGGAATTTTTTCTCTATATTTCATGTATCTGAAGCGTAAAGAGAAAGCATGAGTATTGCTCTTTTCTGGTTTCTCAGCAGCATATAGCAAATGAAATGTCTGCGTGAAAACACTATGGCACAGTGTCCTAATATTCCAACAAAATACATCATTTAATTTGCATTCCATTTGCATATTTTTGTATATTCAGTAAATATTATGTAAGCCAATCATAGGTAAAATAGACATTATTTTTATTTTATTTTTTTTTTTTTTTGAGACGGAGTTTCGCTCTTGTTACCCAGGCTGGAGTGCAATGGCACGATCTCGGCTCACCGCAACCTCCGCCTCCTGGGTTCAGGCAATTCTCCTGCCTCAGCCTCCTTAGTAGCTGGGATTACAGGCACGTGCCACCATGCCCAGCTAATTTTTTGTATTTTTAGTAGAGACGGGGTTTCACCATGTTGACCAGGATGGTCTCGATCTCTTGACCTCGTGATCCACCCGCCTCGGCCTCCCAAAGTGCTGGGATTACAGGCTTGAGCCACCGCGCCCGGCCAAATAGACATTATTTTAAACATATGTTTGATTTAAATATTAAATAGATAAGGCTGGGCACAGTGGCTCACACAGGTAATCCCAATACTTTTTGAGGCTGAGACAGTTGGATTGCTTGAGCTCAGAAGCTTGAGACCAGCCTGGGCAATGTGGTAAAACCCTGAGGCTACCAAAATTTATAAAAATTAACCAGGCATGGTGGCATATGCCTGTAGTCCCAGCTACTTGGGAGGCTGGGATAGGAGGATCACTTGACCCCAGGAGGCAGAGGTTGCAGTGCGCCAAGACTGCAACACTGAGCTCTACTCTGGGCAACAGAGCGAGACCCTGTCTCAAACAACAACAAAAAAAGTTCTTAAGTGGGTCATTTAGGGTATGTTAATCTGCCATACCCCTGGATGGCAACCATAATTTTACCATCTGTAATAATTATCTATTTCATTTGAGAGAGAGGAGATTTTTTTCAAGTTTTTAAATTGTTTAAAAAAAATTACCCTCTTACTGGTTTTTTTCTTCTATTGATTTATTTTCAGATAGTCCCGGAAATAGAACTGGTTTAGAGAGGCTCCCCCTTTTATTTTTAGTTGACATGTAATAATTGTACATACTTACAGTATACAAAATCATATGTTGGTACATGTATACAATTAGTAATGATCAAATGAGGGTAATTAAGATACACTATCACCTTAATTATTTACCTTTCTTTGTGTTGGAAACACTCAAAATTCTTTCAGCCTTTTTGTTTTTTGTTTTTTTGTTTTTTTGTTTTTTGAGACAGAGTCTCATTCTGTTACCTAGGCTAGTCATGGGCTGGTGCAGTCATGGGCTCAAACAATTCTTGGGCTCAGTTTTCCTGTCTCAGCCTCCTATGTAGGTAGGACCACAGGTGCATGCCACCCTCCCCAACTGATTTTTTGATTTTTGTTTGTTTGTTTGTTTGTTTGTTTACAGAGATAGAGTCTGACTTTGTTGCCCAGGCTGGTCTTGAACTCCTGGACTTCTCCTACCTCTCTCTCAGTGCTGAGATTATGGGGGATGAGCCCCCATGCCAGGTCCCTTCTAGCTTTTTGAACATACATGATAAACAGTTGTTAACTATATACCCTGTGGTGCTATACAACACTCAAAGTTATTCCTTCTATTTAGCTAGCTGTAATTTTATATCTATTAACCAATCTCCTCCTGTACTCCCCTCTTCTCACCTTGCCCATCTTCTAATAACCATAACTCTTCTCTCTACTTGCGTGATCTAAGTTTTTTAGCTCCCCCATTTGGGGACATTTGGTATTTATTTTTCTGTCCTTGACTTATTTTACTTAGCATAATGTTCTCCAGGTGTGTCATATTGCTGCAAATGACAAGATTTCATTTTGTTTATGGCTGAAAAGTATTCCATTGTGTATATTTATCACATTTTCTTTTTCCACTCATCTGTTGATGAATATGTAGGTTGATTTCATTTCTTGGCTATTGTGAATAGTGTTGCAGTACATATGGGGTGCAGGTATCTCTTTGACATATAATTTTCTTTTCTTTGGGTAAATACCCAGTAGTAGGATTGCTGGATCATATGGTAGTTACATTTTTAGTTTTTGAGGCACTTCCATACTGTTTTTCATCCTGGTGTACTCATTACATTACCACCACCACTGTGTAAGAGTTCCATAATGATGATGATTAATATTACTATTACTATTTTTTGAGACAGTTTTGCTCTGTTGCCCAGGTTGGAGTGCAGTGGCACCATCTCAGTTTACTGCACCCTCCTCCTCTTGGGTTCAAACAGTTTTTTTGCCTTAGCCCCCTGAGTAGATGGAATTACTGGTATGCACCACAATGCCCAACTAATTTTTGTAATTTTAGTAGAGGCAGGGTTTCACGGTATTGCTCAGACTGGTCTCAAACTCCTAGCCACAAGCAGTCTGCTTCCCAAAGTGCTGGCATTATAGGCGTGAGCCACGTCACCGGGCCATAATGATTTTTTTTAAGTGTACAGTTGAGTAGTGTTAACTATATTCACATTGCCCTGTAATAGATGTCTACAACCTTTTCATTTTGGAAAATTGTCCATTTCATTTGATTAAAATGTTTTGTAGGGCATGTGTGTGTAAAAAGATTGAAGGTGGCCGGGCGCGGTGGCTCAAGCCTGTAATCCCAGCACTTTGGGAGGCCGAGGCGGGTGGATCATGAGGTCAAGAGCTCGAGACCATCCTGGTCAACATGGTGAAACCCCATCTCTACTGAAAATACAAAAAATTAGCCGGACATGGTGGTGCGTGCCTGTAATCCCAGCTACTCAGGAGGCTGAGGCAGGAGAATTGCCTGAACCCAGGAGGCAGAGGTTGCGGTGAGCCGAGATTGCGCCATTGCA